ATATATATATATATATATATATATATATATATATATATACATATATAATATGGTAATATGGAGATGTTTGTGTGTGTATATATGTATAATTTTTTACAACTTTAAAATTTGTGAGATATTCTATCTTAAGGTTTTGTTTTATATGATTTTTTACATTTAAGTATAATACTTAGCGTATTGATTAATATATATTTGTTTTACAGTATGTTTGTTTCATATGTATTTAGTTCACAATATGAAACTCTTTTATGCAGGGTATTTATTTAAACCGCCCAAAACTAACTGCAAAACACGGTTTAGAACTTCCATGGTGTGGTTTGAGGTTTGCATTTTTATCAAATCGCACTATGCGGTGCAGTTTACGATTTTGAGTTATCAAACAACGATTAAAACTGCACTGCACATTATATATATGTATATATATTTTATTTTACCTATATAACACACACACACACACACATATATGGAGGTGAGTTATTATACAACCTTTTACATTTGTACAACCAATACAACTTAATCTCAACCCTCCATTTCATTTGATGAATATAAGTTTTGATTGTTTCTTAATATAAAGTATTGATCATAATTAATGAACTCTATTATCTTTCATAAATATTCAAATAATAATAAATGAACTCCCATCATTTCTATAAATATCTCAATTAATTGGGTTGCATTGGTTGTACAAAAGAAAATGGTTGCATTTGAAATATACCCTATATATATATATATATATATATATATAGAATAAATGATAAATTTGTAAAATATTTTTAATCTATTATCTCCATGGTCTATTTATAACTCCAAAGTTTTGGACTTCGATTAATAATTTTAATAAATTATAGCCCAGTAATCCATTAGGTTCTTTTAGGCTTTAATCAACATTCACGACATGATTTCACCATTTTTTTTCAATTTTGTGCTGATATGCGACTTCTGCATTTTGCCTTAAGTTACTTTCAAGTCTCAACGATTTAGTTTAATTAGTTTTTTTATTTCTTACATTATTTTCTAATTTATGTAATATATAATCGGAAATTGGAAATATTGGAACTTTATATTTTATTTAGACTACAATCACGTTATAATTGATTTTATAATATTGGATTATAAACGTAAAATGCGTTAGATAGAAACTGCATTGCAACGCATTTTGTTGTTGGAGGTGTATGCGGTGCTGGTTCGGTTCGGGAAAATGCTCAAACCGCATACACGGTGCGGTTTGCGGTTTTGCCTCAAACCACACCATGAACACCTCTACATTCACGTGTATTTTTTGTTTTACAAACACGTCAAATAAGTTCATATTTATAAGTACATGTGAAACAAACACATTGTAAACAAATCCATGTTAATCACTACATTAAATTCTACCCATAGATGAAAAAGATCATATGAAATAACACATGATGCATTGATTCTCATAGATCTCACAATTTAAAGAGTTCTCTAAAGAAGGTCTCCTTTGTATGTATGTATAACTATAAATTCACGTAATTACTACACCTCGTAAATCTAAAAAAAGATTAAATCTTATTTTTTCTAGTTATTAAAGTCTACATAGGGTTGTTTGGTTGATTTTTCATTAAGTTCTATATGGATAAAGCTGATTGTGTGTATTAACATCTCTGTATGAATTGAGAGGGTTTTCTCATAGATGGAAATAACATGTGTGGGAAAAAAACATTGACTTTATGCATAAAACTCTCTATAAAAACTTACAAAGTAAGTCGTGTTCTATATCATTAGGTCACTACAGAGTAGCTGATCACAAATAAAATGTAAGTCTCATTAAATTGTCAATAAACAGACTCTTATCTATGCTATATTATAAAGTATTTGACAAAAACTCTTAAAAATCATTTTTTAGGTATGAAGTACTATATATTGATGTATATTACTTAAAATTCACGATTACAAGTAAATTATGTATAAGTACAACTTATTGAAGCTCCATGTTTGACGTGTAACTAACTGCGGATAAACATAATCAAATAGAGGATAAACATCTCATTTTAAAATATAAAAAATCTAAATATAATTAGGATAATTATTGAGTTCTAACAGAATAATTAATTATTATCTTTACAAGAAAATTATATTATCAAACCAAATATAAGTTATTTCGTTATTGAATTTAAATTAAATTATAATAAAAAATTGAATTAAAAAATTACACAAAAAATATGAATTTTAAATAGTTAATTTGATATTAACATCGATATATTTTTGTCAAATTTTTATGATATATTCAAATTTATATTTTATTCAAAAATAAAAATATCATTTCTTTTTCAAAATCACATAAAACCATACTATAATATCGACTAAAATACATAATAAAATAAAATATCAAAATCAAGATATATCTCGTTGTATTACGCAAGTATCTTTCTAGTTCTCTTTAAAACAATTTAGTCATTGTGATTCTATTTTTGTGTTTATAAACAAATAGATTAGATATTTAACAAGTAATCAAAATATACATATCAACCAATGTATGTCAATTTTTTAGTAAATTACAAGTTTGGTCCCTAAACTATTTCTTAATATGCAAATTCAACTTAAATTTTCAATTGCTTCATTCTTATAGTCCAAAATAGTCAAATTATAATCCTTTATTTCTCTTTTAGAACTTTTAATTACCTTTCTTTCTAGTCTCATCATGAATTATGCACATGTCTTTTTTCAAGAGCTTCATTGTACCCAGGTGAGAGGATGATAGATACATACGGGCGTTGCAAATATGGACCCGTAAACATGCGTATTCGTTCATATTCATTTGCATAAAAAGGATATTCACAGCGATCGCTTATATCAGCGTACACTTAAACATAAACAAATATATGTAAGATGAAAACAAAAGGAAAAAGAAGAAAATATTCATCATAATAAGATTCTAGAAACACAGGTTATAAAAGTATATCATCATAAGCTTATCAAAACCATGCACATGATATGCTTATTAGAAAGTTCCAGTTAAAAAAGGAAACACGATAACATGATCTTCAAATTTTTGACTCGTCGACAATCTAGTAACTTCATCTTCAGGTAGTTTATTCACATGGTGTGGTAGTGGTTGACTTTGTTATTTTGATCGAGGGTGTAAGCAGTCACAAGTACAAGCATTATTTATATTTAGGCTATGGCTGTCATTCCAGGTTGGCCATTTTTTGGGTGCAATGGTTTAGGATGACTTACATTCCATAACCTCTATCCAAGAGGCAATGGTCCTCGTCTAGGCGGATATCGATGACGAGGTTGGGGTCTTTATGCCATGGTGAACGTCTTTGTGACAAATTTCAAAGGATGAACAGTGGTGGAAATCATCCACATTTAATCCAACCTTAAGCCTTTGCTTCGTAACACAAACGTGTCTGATCGCGGTCATTGTGTATTACTTTCTCGTTCCTTACACTTACTGGGATTAATTAAGTTTGACCAAAAATCTAGGATTGAAGTTTTAGTTTTTAGTGAAAATCAAAGTAATAAAAAGGAAAAAAAAATGTCACATTTTTAACATGTGATTTGTTCTGATAGAATTTCCTTAGTTTTTAACGACTGGACCAAATCGTTAGAATTTAGCTGTTTCAAAACAGAAACTGAAACAAACAAAACTTTTAGACTAACCTTGAAAGAGGCACTAAGGACAGTGTGTAATGGTAAGGCCATAGGCTCATACCAGGTCCTGATTAAGGTGTGGATTTGTTTGGGGAAGTTGAGTAGGTAATGGTTGACAAAGCTCTTTAACATATCCCTTAGGACTATCAAATACTAAAGAGCGGAGACTCAACGTTATTATGCTATTATATAAGAGCAAAGGCGGCACATAAAACTATGCCAACTATTTAGTATAAAACTACTTAGCCATACCATGAAATTATGGGAATGTGTGATTAATTCTACAATGCGACACAAAACAAATGTGTTGTAAAAGCCAATTTTGTTATTTGGCTTCATGTCAGTTAGGTCCGGATTTAAGCAACTCACGTCCTCAAACGCATCATGGAGAAGTATAAAGAATCATGGTAAAAAAAGTTCAGAAATGAGAATACTCAGGTGGGCTTGTGGTTGGACCATGTTGGAAATGATAATCAACGAGATTTTTGGGTAGGGTTGAGAGTTGCATCTATCACAAATAAATTGAGAGATGGTAAATTACAGTGGTTCAAATATGTGCACTAGAGACATAAGATAATATCAATGAGGATGATAGAAACTATAACGATTGAGGAGGGTGAGGTAGAGGGGCAGACAAAAAAGAACATGAGAGAAGCAACTGAATTTATGTGCCCGCCTTAAACATTTCTAAGGACATGACCTATGGGAACACTTACAGACATAAGGATTATTATAACAAGGGAGCTTGGAAAAAGATAGAGGGTGGGTTAAAGGGGGATCAAGTGGAGATGTAATACTTATGGACCGTTTGGTTGACGGAATTCGAAGGAATTGGAATGACAAATTCCTTTGACCAAATTCTAATTTTTTTGTTTGGTTCATTTCTTGAAAATGGATGTAATCCTACAAATTCTATTGAATTCCACAAATTAATGAATTCATCATTCCTTGGCATAATGGAGGGAATTGAATTCCATCACCACCCACCACGACCATGTTACTATTGTTCGTCATGCCCCACTCCTAACCCCCACCAAAACCACACCACTATTGTTGCCGCCACCCATCCCCACCTACCCTACCCCACCACTAACCACCATGCCACTAATATTATCATCATACCCACCCACCCCCGATTACTCATTGAACATCCCTGCTATGACCATGCTACTACCGTTACTGTTACGCCCCTAACCTAACCCCCACCACCACACTATTATTGTTGCTGTTACAACCACCACTGCACACATTTCCCTACAAATTTTCTCATATGTATCCTTGTATTTTTTTACAAGTCAAGAGTCTTCACATAAATAGATTCTCTACCCATTGGGACCGAGACAACATCTGTTTAAGAGATACTCAGGGCTTTCAACTTTGTACCAAACACTTATCCGGGTATGTGCTTACCAAGTCACGTTACCTTACCAAATGAATATGACAAGGACAAATTATCTTACTCCATAAGAGCGAAACAATGACCGAAAGTCTTACTCGGTAAGTGAGGGCGACGAGCCGACGACTCTTACCATAATTAGCGGTTATCGGTAAGTAGAATATGATGCCGTATTGGTAGACTAAAATCTTAGCCGATAAATAAGCGATATAGTTGAATTTAACCAGTAAACGCTTAACGGGTAAGTGATTAGGTAAACAACCTGTATGTTTGTTTGGTTAGGCCAACCTTGTGTATTAAGAAATAGTTGAAGGGATGAAATGGAGTCATTTTAGACAGAAGCATAATAGTGGAGGGGGAAATTTGTAATTAAGTCTATGGTCTAACACACATATCCCATTTTTGTTTGCAACCAAGAAAGAGAGCACTCCCTCCTCTCTCTCTATCTGCCAAAACGTTCCCTTTCCAAAATTATTTTATCTTCGAAATTATCTGAGATCATCAGCGATCAATCGAAGGCAAACTCGATTGAAACCCTAAAAATGTTGTGTCCTCGTCTCTCAGGATTCGGTTGATTCTTCTAATTTTTCATTTCTCCGATCCAGTTTATTGTTTAAACAAAACCCTAGCGATCTCGGAGCCTTTCGATTCTAGATTACGAAACAAAAACAAAGAATAAAGCACAAAACCCTAGATTTTGGATTTATGTATTGAAGAGTGATGTTTTAGATGAATGCGTTTTGGGGGAGTTGTATAATTTGTTCATGGAGTATGAAGGGATGAGTTAGTCTGCGTTTGCTTGCGTTCGGTAAGTGATGGTCGAGGTTGATCTAATGAAAACGAGTAGTTTGTGAAGATCGATGGCGGTTTAAGGGAGGATTTACCAGTTTTGGATGGGTTTGATCGGGGTAGAATAGGACTATCTTCAAACCAGGCCGTGAAGGCTGTAGATGTAACTCAGTTTTGAATTTTATAGCAGGTTGTTGCTTCCATTAATCGTAGTTGGCTTACTGATTGGGGTATAGAGGTGGGTTAGTCGTTGTAGAGTATTCGGCGGGTTTGATTGGGGGCCGTTAGATTTTCAATAGTACTGCAAAATGAGCTTGGAAAACGAAGATGGCAGCTCGGCTGTGGCGGCCTCTGAATCGGTTGATGAACCTCAAAAGTAATAAACATTTTTTTTGTTGATATACCTTGATTGAAGTTCTCTTTTGGTTTGATGTTAATTTGGGTTGAAAATTTGTGTTTTCTGTTGGATGTTTCAGGAAACCAAGAATTTCGTATACCAGAGATTTTCTCCTTTCATTAAGTGAGTTGGAAATCTGCAAGACGCTGCCGAGTGGCTTCGACCGATCACTTCTGAGGTAGATTCTCCTATAATTTCATTAAGATTTATGTAATCTATCTGCCAATCATGTGAACTCTTCTATTGTATCATGTGCTTCTATTAATATGGATTCACTAAAACCAGTGAATTTGAAGATAATAGCAACCAAGAACGGCAAAGAAGTCATGGTAGTTTACCATTGCAAAGTTTCCGTCGTAATGATTACAGCTCTTCACCACCCACTAGGGGTGATTCAAGTAATTTCTCCAGGGGAGTCTATGGAAGATGGGACAATCGTTCTTCCGGATGGAGTGATAAAGATGGGGATTCACAATCTGATTTGGATCCAGGTCGGTTTTTGAGTGCATATCATACTCTAATAAATAAATAATTATGGACATCGTTCATTCATCTTTACGGTTGTGGTTTGGAAGCAACAAAGTCACTCCAGTGGTGAATTTGTATGTTTTATCTATATAATACACATTTTATTTTGCAAATACTATGATCCTAATATCTGGGAATGTGAGTAGTTGATTCATGGTTGAAAACCTTAAAAGCATCATAGAGAGTTGATCCATGCATATTCCATGGTCTTTACCATTTATTGCATAACGTGTGAGTTTAAATCTTATTATTTGATGTTCATAAACGGGTAGGCTCTAGGGAATTAGATCCCCAAGGATGACCAGATGAGGGCTGATTGATTTTTCTGAAGCATCTTCTAGTTTATTAACTTGCTTTAAAGTAGCATGCAACTCAGAGCATTATTAGAGACAGACCGTGTTCGTTTTTTGTTTAAACCACAGTCCATATATAGGTGAAAGTGGAGGTCCTAAGACCAATTTTAAATCTAATGTTGGAAATCTAGAGGAATTATTTTTTCTCTTTCTAATAGATGAAATGAATCTCTTACTAGATTAGTCAGCTTCTTTATTCTCTAGATACATCCGATGAATATTCTACCCTAAACCTGCCGGTTGAGGTGTCACTCTCTGGTTAAGTTTTGCTTTCAATGAGAAGGTACTGAAAGCATACCTAACTTGTGGTTGCTTATTTCTGTTGCCGATTCACGCATCGGATTTCTGTTGTATGTAATTCTAATTTTTTTTCCCACTTGTTTGTTGATAGATATCGCAGTGTTATTTCCAGAATAGTTCCTTATTACTCCATTAGATGGCAGACCTTATGTTTACAGCGTGTAAGATGGCAGACCTTATGTTTACAGCATGTGGTTTTGGAAGTTAAAAAGAAAACTTATTTTCCTCGGTGCATGCATATGACTGCATTGATTGATGATATATTGAAATAATAATTGTCATCTTTCTCGGTAAACCGGCCTCCTAGATGTCTTTGCTTCTTATCAGCTAGTAGATGCTTAGTGAGAATTAATTAGAGCCTTATTGCATTGTTCTCATCCTCTTATTCAAAGTGTGCTTTTGCTGATATGGTTAATAGGGTTTACTAATAGCCATTATGAAATATTTTTTTGTTCATAATCATTGTTTTACTTTTTACTTTGTTCTGTTTACCAAATAGTCTACTTGATTAAAAACTGACCACCGTTAACTACTTTAAAGATGGTTCTTCTTTCCATTTGACTTCATCAACACACTTTACTTTTGATTACTGTGGTCTTAGGTTGGGGATCAAATGGTTGGTGAGAAATATTATGTTTTGTTGTTAGCAGTCTATTAGATTCCTTAGTACGTGTAGCCATGAAAGAGGATAAGTATTATAGAATGGTGGCAGAAATTTCATTTCAATCGCAATACATTTTTGTCAGTGGTATGCTTATGGGTGTGCAGTAGGTGAGTTAGCGAATACATGGTTCATTGGGGTAGTCTCATGTGGTACATTATTTGCTTACATGGTAAGTTTAGTACTTTAGATTATATTTGTATATTTTGTAGAATTCATTTTCAAATATAATAAATATAGAAGCTAGATTCTTTGGACTTTATAAAGGAGAAACCAATTTTGATTGATTATTTCTTTATATAATAGGGTCCCACCAGTACTAAGATGAATAAAAATGTAAATGAACAAAAGCGGTAATTGGATTTGCCCAATCTTGGTCCTTATTAACCAAGTTGAAAGCAATTACAGATCTAAACCCCATTATTAGACTATATATATAAATAATTTTGACCTATTTCGTCATAAGGAGAAGAAAGAGGCACGCCGCCCTCTCTCATTTCTGTCTCTCTCTTTCGAGATCATCTACCCCTTTCTCTTCCCTTGTGATGAAGAGGAACTTGAAGACAATGAGGACCAAAATTGAATTGGAGTGCGAAGAATATCACTCAATGGGTAAGCATAATGATGTAAACCCTAATTTTGCTGTTTATTCTTTTTATGTCGAGAGTTTTATATGCTCTGTTCGAGATAAGATTGGCCCTGATGGGTGTTGGTGGTGAACGAATGCACCCTTATTTGCATAGGAGCTAGCATGAACTGGATCGTGTTGTGTAAAGGGGTCAGGACTAATTGGATAACACTGGGTGGGAGCAATAACTCTAAATCTTGGTTAATTATTTGACTCATCGAGTAGTTCATATTTCGGGTTGGTTGTTTTCCATTTGGGTTAAGACTATCTATCAGGAAATCTAACACCATCTGGGTGTCTTACAACAATTCAGAAATTTCATTTTGAAATTCTGCCACATGAACTGGGGTTCTTGTTCTGATATCAGTCGGTCCTTGATTTGAAATCAATTGGCTCCTACAATGATATCTATCAGCCCCAAGGCATTGAAAAATTAGGATTTCCATGTTGATAATGTAGTATGTGTTACTTGTTGTGTTATAATTGGTAATTTTTGTAGTTTATTGAGTTGGCGATTTATTCTGTTGCTTTGTTAGAAAGAGTTGTGAGCTGTTATTTGATTGCAAAAGTAGTATGTCGTAGATGAAACCTAAATTCTTACCCACTTTTGGAAGTCAAATGTAGAACTAGCATTAATTCTTTTACCAGGCACTTGGATAACCACCACAACTAACTTGGTTGTATGTAATTGTCATGGACTCATCGTCAAGTCAATCAGCTTAGCATTGTCAGTGTTTTGGCTTGTTATATAGTCAATTTGTGGATTTCCTTGTGTTGACCAATAATTAGGTCAAAGGACTCCTAATTCTAACCTTTGTATGAGATTGTCCATGGCTGGAACTTGATTAGTAACTGATAAATGGACTTGGTAGAACCCACTCCAAAAGTTAGGTCAAAGGAGGAGAGTGGCTAAACCGCATACATGATACATATATATATATCTTGACAACCTGGCAATGTTGGTCAAACACTACACCGGTAGTGTGTTACGGATCACACATATAATTGTCTTATTTTCTTATGCTAGCACCAATATGAATGACTTTATCTTAGGCCCTTGGTCTGTTTGATTTACATATATATAAGCATTTCGATTAATAATAGTTTTCTTCAGATAATGGAAGGCGCAGTTATGGCAATCAATCTCGGCGACCATGGCAGAACTCTGAGCATGATGGACTTCTTGGAAGTGGCTCTTTTCCAAGACCCTCTGGAATTGCATCTGGGACCTCTGCTCCAAAGGGCCAGACAAACGAGCCCTTCCATCTCAATAGGAGTAACGAGGCATATCAGCCCCCACGCCCTTTCAAGGTTAGTGACGTTAAATTTGGCTTTTTTCATGTTTGTGGTTTGGATTAGTACAAATAGTCTTCCAAATAAACCTCTGTGTAAAGATAATCAAAATCATTGGAATCTATAAAGACAACCTACATCCCCTGCATCATATATATATACATATATATATATATATATTCATACTTACTGTTTTCTTCAGGCTGTGCCGCATACCCGAACTAACACCCAGGACTCGTTCAATGACGAAACATTTGGTTCCAGTGAGTTTACGAGTCAGGATAGAGCAGAAGAGGAAAGAAAGAGAAGAGGTAACATGTCTTTGTCTCACATGGCTGAACCCTTATTTTTATTCTATTGGTGATTGATGACCTGCAAAGTTCACTTATGCATTCTAATTTTCTGGCAGCTTCTTTTGAGTTGATGAGGAAGGAACAACAGAAAGTGCTACAAGAAAAGCAGAAATCAAATGCCAATAAGCATAAAAGCGATGGATTTACGGACCTTATCTTGGAGGAGACCAAGGAAGAAGGAGTGTTAGAGGCCAGCGGTGAATTGAATTCTGCAGTTCAATCTGTTCCAAATGATGATTCTTTAAAATCTTCTATCCTGTTGCAGTCTTCCAAATCCCGACCACTTGTACCACCAGGATTTAGAAGCACAATTCTGGAGAAGGGTTCAACCACAAAACCTATCTCTTCTACCAACAAAGAGGTAAGTGTTTATATGTACGTATGTATGTACGTATATTGTGCATTTGTGTTTATGTCTATTTAATGTGTTCGCTCATCCCTATTGATAGTATGTGTGTATTCATGGTTTTTGACTTCTGGTGCAATGAGCAATAAGGGCTTGAATCGGTACAATGAATTGAACATTCTTTTCCTGAAAAAGGTCAACTCGAATAAAAATGACCATCTTATTATCTCTTTTACTGACATATATATTGTTCATATATTGTTTAGCAGAATCCTAAACCTGGAATAGAGGAAATTCATTTGCTTGCCAAGGGCAACCACACTCAAAATGGAACTCAAGATAACCAGGGGAACATACAGCCAATTCATAAGTTAGATATGACAGACCAGTACCTTGAAGATAAAAACATCTGTGGGATTAAGCAGGGTGAAGCCATAATGACTTCATTGTCAGGGTCTGCAGTTGAAACTGAGAAGCGTGGAATTGGTGATCATAATTTACATGGAATCTCTGGTTTTCCAGAAGTGCACGAAGCTGTTGATGGTGAAGTTTTTGAACTTATGACGAATAATGTTATGGGAAATAAAATTCTTAGCAATTCGAGTCAGGAAAGCACGACGTCCATCCTCGGAAAATTCTTTGGCAGCGGTCCAACAGTTAAAGATGGTGGCTCCACAGGTTTTCTTGAGGTACATGATTATAAAAACTTCTGCGCCAGTTTGGTGTTGCTTAACCTGAACAATAAAATGCATTATCTGAGCTGTTGACACATGAATCAGACATTCTTGAAGAATATGTTGGGAAACTAGTTCGAAAACCTCTGCTCTCACAAATTCTCTCTGTTGGCTTTGCTTAGAGTGACTTTCATTTTTATCCGAATTCCAGAGTAGAGATTTCAATTGCTCATTGCATTTGTGTATAGGAACTGTCACAACTAACAAGGTAAAGCACTTGAGGGTTTTCACATCCACAGTGACAAAAGAACGAAAAAAACGATATTTTGGGAAGGCATCATAAAGTTAGTTCACCCTATGCATGTGAGCAATTGCATCAGGCGGTTTTGCTGTCTTGGTCTCCTTCCCAAAATGTAGGGATTTTTGCCCTAAACCCATCTGAACTCTCAACCTATCACGTCTGGTAGACATGTCGTTTTGTCTTATTCTTGTGAGATTTTGGCCATGGGAAGTACTCAATTGTATTTGTACAATGATACATCTATTATTACATTTTTAGTGTCCACTATTAGCATTTCATATATGTTCTAAATATGGTATTCCATATTATTATTGTTATTATGTTTGTGTTTAATACACACCCAAATATCAAAAGGGTAAAAAACTAGTTTGTAGATGAAAAACTTAGGACCTTTAGCAACACAAAGGTTGGAAGATATATGCAGGTTTATGGTAATATAAATCGACTATATTCTCTTGTCTAACATTTCCATCCACATTTCACAACCTGGAAAGATCGCTAGTATATATATTTTTATTCTATCAGAATGATAGGATTCTGAATAATTTGATTCAACTAGTTTACCTTGGTGAAAGTGACATGCTTACAGAGGCCTGATAGTAATATGCTTTTGGCTAACCATATGGTGCCTCTCCTGTTTTGTTAGTCTATTTTTCTGAAGAAAAAATATAAAATCTAGGCAGTCATGTGTTGCTTACTTTAAGGTAATGAATTTATTTTCGCTCAGCAGCAGCAGAAGAGTGAGGCAGATGATCATCCGAGTCCCCACAATGTGCAATCTTCCAGATTTGCTCAGTGGTTCAATGAAGACGGTATATCACTCCCTCTCTCTCTCTCTCTCCCCCACTCTCACTATATAATTTTGTATGAGTATAATATCAGAGCTAATAATTTGGATTTATTTGGCTTCATGTCTCATAATTACTGCATCATATCCTCTTAGCTGTTCCATTTTCTATTTTCGTTAATCTTTTTGCAGAAAAGAAACCTGTGGATGATGTCTCATCCAATAGACCGAATGACTTGCTTTCACTGATTGTTGGTAGTGACAAAACTGGGTCTCAAGTTCCCAATGTCATATCTAGTGAGCCCAGTGCACCAGATTTATCCTACAAGGGTTTTGGGGTTACCAAAACACCGTCAGACTCCAAGCATTTGTACAACGATTATAGACAGGACTCTGCACCTCCAGTTGCTGCAGTCCTAACGTGTGAAGACCTTGAACAGACTATAATGTCAGAATATAGCGAGAAAAGTACAACTTTGCAGCCACCCATTCCTGATTGGAGTGTTTCTGGCCAAGAAAACATGGATGCTATACCAGTTGACAATCGTGCAACTCATCACTTGCTTTCATTGTTACAGAAAGGAACTACCATTGACGATATGAAATCCTCTAATACAGACAGTGGATCGTTGGAAAACCGTCCTACTTCTGAAGTGGGAGGTATTAAGATGTTTGAAAAGCCAAAAGATGCTAATCAGGAAGCTGGACATACTTCGGCTCAGAACCTTTCACTTGAAGCGCTTTTCGGGACTGCTTTCATGAAGGAGCTGCAGTCGGCTCAAGCACCTGTTTCTGTCCAGAGGGGATCTGCTGGGTCTGCCAGAATCAATATAGCGCCTCGTGAACTATCTGCCCCTGTGATGAATGGTCCTCTATCTTCTAGTGTTGATGGAATCGGATCCAACATGACAAGTTATGAAAGCAATACCTTGTCCTCCAAAGAGAAACAGCCTGTCAAATCAGATGATGCTGAAAGCTGGTTAAATTTCAATGGTCCTCAGGTAGATGTTGACCCGTTAGAGTTCCATAGGGGAGTGCCAAAATTGGCTAAGCAAGCCAGTGGGGCAGTCGAAATCCAGCTGCCTGAAGAGGAGAGCTTGATTACAGTTGGCGATCCTGCAAACACCCATAACCCAATGTCTAAAAGTACAACTATAGGGAAATTGTTACCTTCTGATGCGGCATTTGATATATCAGAGAAGCTTGCGGCCCTTAATTCTGGTTTTAGAGGCGAGCGTTCTATTGCAGCTCAGGAAGCCAATCGTTTTGTTCGTGGGCCCTATGACATGTTGGAGCCTGAGAGACAATTTAACAATCTTCATGCCCAAGCTTCATCTCCTCAAATGCATGCAGGGCAAATGAATCATAATCGGCTGCCAATGTTTCACCCGTTAGATCCTAACCTGCCACATATGAATTCCCATATGAGATTTCCCGAGCATCTTATGCAACGTGACTCTCCTCTGAATCACCAATTTCCAGCTAATATGGCCCGTCCTTTTCATCACCCTGATGCTAGAGTAACAGGTTTCGATGTTCCTGCTCATCCTCAAATGATGCCTCAAATGCGGATGCAAGGCAACTTCCCTCCTCACCTGCTACGTGATCTTCCAAGGCCTTCAATGGTGCATCCTCATCCTGGCAATCAAGCATCCAATTTTATGCCAGATAGGGAAGCACTGCATGGATTCCCGTTTGCTCATCAACAGGCCAACATTGGTGGGCTTGGTATGCCATTACCTGGTAAGATCTCGATAACTTTCTTTATGCAATGAATTTGTTTTTTGCAGAAACTGTTGTCCACTTCCGTAAGTTGAGTTTTTACTGTGTTCATATACGTTTTTCTAGTCCAACCATTAAAAACAAAAAACAAACAATCTTTTGATCTTGAATCCAAGTTCAAGTACTTGTAAACTCATTTGTTATGACATTGATCTACACTAATGTCGTCCCAACCTAGTCCAGCTGATTGAACACTCACCTGGTAACAAAATTGATCCTGGAAAAGACCAGATCTTAGAAACCTGTTCAGGTTTCCAGATCTCTCAACCTGGTGATCCTGCGGGTTGTCCAGCAAGTCACCCAATTTAATGTATATCGATTTCTAGAAATGAAATGTTTGGTTGAACCTCTAACCTTCTAAGGTATTTATATTATTACTTGTATCCAAGATGCTGAACTTATGTGTGGGTTGGTGCAACTTAACTAGCATTTTACCATATTATAGACTGTAGATCATGCGCCACACAAGCTCTTTATATATTTCCGGCTTCAATTCCTTTTGGTCCAAACAGCGTGGGTACAGGATTGGATGGGCATGAGTGAGATAGGAGGATGAAATAATTGTGGAAGGTTTTAGGGTTTTAATTTGACACGGGTAGTTTAGTAATTTACCAATTCAATAGGACTAAAAAGTGCATTTTTTGTCTACGTCAAATGGCGGGGACAACCAGTTTTTGTTTTGTCCTGTCCCACATACCAAATGCCTGGTCAAAACATTCGAACTCATGACAGAAAAACCGAATTGACGGGAAAAGGATCACAATGCGAGCTTACTTAAGGTAGATAGTTTGATGATGATTAATTAAGGGTTGTTTCTTGACTAATAATAATAATAATGGTGCATTTTTTAGTCGGTGATGGTGGTCCGGAAGCGTTGCAGAGGATGATGGAGATGGAAGTGAGGGCCCAGTCGAAGCAGGTTCGTCCAGTGAATAGCCAAGGGGGGATGTATGAGCTAGATATGGGTTTCCGATACAGATAGGTAATAGTTGTCCATGCTCATGTATATGATGAATGTGAAATCCATATCTTTAGCTGCTGCTTCCGCTTCTGCTTCTGCTTTGAAACCGTGAGAAAACAGAGATGTTTCTAGCCGTGTTTTTCGTATTTTTTTTTAAAGTTTTTCTAGTGGAGTCTGCGTTCGTTTTCAATACCGGGATTGGGGATATGTAGATTTGGTTATGTTGTAATGCACATTTACAGGTTTAGTTTTCTTTGTTGGTTGCTGCATTTGCATTTCATCACATATGCTAATAATTACCCGAAGGAGCTTCGCCAATGCAATTTAATTTTAGGACCCGTATACCAAACGCTTACCAAGTAAGCGTTTACCTTATCTGTTAATGTTCTCGAACATTAAAATGGATTATTGGTAAGCGCTTACCTTATGCCCTCTTACTGGGTAAAGATTCTCGATCTTTGCCATGCACACTTGATGGATAAGTGAGAGTGTGACACCCGGTTAGTGATGACCATTTTGTACCAGCCCCGTAACCACATTGATGAAAAAGATGTTGAATAATCTCATGTTAATAATTTTATATGACAATTAATTTGATTAAAATGGAATGGTGTATTTATGCGATTTAAAAAATGGGGCAAATGTATCACCAACCCCCAGGTAACTATTGTCGTAGTCACATCTACCACCGCAAATATATGTATTTCTCAAGATTTTATGAAACCAAACAAGGACAAGATGCAATTTAATCAAGTAACCAACATCCACCACCTACCATCAGGCTACTGCTATCGTCATCACAGTTGCCACCCCTGCCCTCCAAACAAATATGGAGATTCCGATTCTTTTGAAAGATTTCATTCCAATTCTTTAAACCAAAAGCACGGTCAAATTCCACCAAATTTCATTCTACGAACCAGACGCCACTTATTGTGTTCAAAGAAAATTGCTATTCAAAAGTAAAATACAATCCACCCACTTGAGAAACAGACTTTTTTAGACCCCCAAAAAATGTTGCAAGTTTAACCATAGGATGACAAGGCAAAACACCTTCATATTTATTCATTAACCAACCAACACCACTCTTGTTGATCACACAACAATTAACATTACTTGTTCATAAAACCATCATCCTATTCCCAAAACCACATCATCATCATCATCATCATCATCATCATCATCATCATCATGAACAGATGATGATGATGAATATGAATTGCCACATGTTTTACCTTATATACAACAACCACCTACACACTATATACCTACAAGTAACTCATTTTTGTACATATGCTTTCTGAACACTCGCATACACTTCACTTCACTTCACCTTCAAAACTCTCATGATGATGGGATTGCACGACCACTGCTGGATACAACTTTCCCACTCCCCACATCGTATGAAGAAAATAATCTCCTCTGTATGTAATGTAAACATGCCATCGTGTTAAATGTGACATAAAAGAAGCAACCCGGATCATAACGTTCAACTATTGGTCGATTATAGAAAAAGAGGATCAACATACTAAACTTTGTACACAACTCGATACCACCTGGCTATTAATCCAAAACAGACTTCAAAATTTATCATAAAAACGGTGGCTGAATCTTCCATGAGACAAGGACTGGAATAAAGAGGATGAAATCTCTGCCAAATACCCTTGGAAACCTTTGTTGTCCCATGAAAATTGCATCCTTTCGACTCAAAAACACCCACAGTTTTATGTTATAATGGTCGACTTCTTCAATCAAAACAAATCTAGGAATCTTGCCACGATGTCACAAATGATTTGCAGCCATGGCTAGTTTGAAACTTGTTATATTCACAAAGAAAAAAGAAAATTTGCAATTTTATGGGTGAAGGAAGATCATCTTCAGTGTTTCATTCGTAAAAATAGGATCAGATAAAGATGGTGAAGGCGATACTGGAAGAGTACTTACATAGTCCTCGAATTGTGGGCTTTTCAAATTAGCACACAGATTTTTCATCAACAAAATCACCTGAACAAAATCAAAAGACAAACGTGAAGATACTTGCACATATATGCTGAAAAAAGCATAAATCTTTACCAACTTGTAATCTTTTTTTTCTTTCTAATACCTACGTAATTATTTATCATATACTAGTTAACAAATTTGTGGTAGTAGCATGGCATGCATATTCTTCAAAAACGCATCCAAGTTGAAATGCAGAGTTGCAAACATAACAAGTACTCGTACCGTCTCAACATCCACTGAATCCATCATCTTCAACTTCTGCAAGTGATTGCTTTCATTCGGATCAAAGATGCCGCCAATGAATCTGTAGACTTTTGGGAAGTCCGGCATCACTGCATTTCATAGAAAAATAAATATGAGTGGTCATAGTTGGAACGACAATAACTCACATCTCTTAACACTACTTGATCTATTGCGAATAGAAAATACCAACAGACATGCTGTAATTGCTCATATATTTTATTGGATAAGTTAAGAACTAACCTCTCCCTGCCACTCTCTGTTTTACTTCTTGTTGATTGTTTGTTTCACCAGTTGGCCATATCCCTGGACCGCTATCAATGCTGCTGCTACAACAATTGTGTGAAATAGCAGCCCCCGATGATCTGACATCATCTACAATGCCCAAAGAGGAAAAAGAAATTGTTGGAAAATCTAATCCAGTGTTTTCTTCCAGGGAACAAGAACCAATGAATGAGAGGGGGCTCAGACCTTTTGTGGGCAAATCTGGTGGGGCTATTGTATTGTACATCCAGGAAGCCAAACCTGCAGTGCTGCATGCGTTTGTAGGCCACAGATATGAATCTGTGTGTTCAATTAAATCAGCAGTCGGCTGCAAAATTCCTTCTACTTTGGGTACACCTGAGACCAGAAAGTGTGTAGAATGTTAGCAAGGTTTCTTTAGATCCCATTTAAAGTTTCCTGAAAGAGACATGAACCGTAAATAATAATCTGACCGTTTTTAGGGGCCTTGTGAGGGTATGGGTGAGCTGCTTTCCTCTTTGGCCGAGGGGGCGGGACATGCTCTTTTGTGCCACTTTTCTGAACCTTCAGAAAGTACTTCTGTGCATGGCTCCGTATCTGCAAAGACAAAATCTTCAATAACACATGTATAGAGATAAAGCTGTAGATGATGAACTACGGATAAAATTATTATAGATGCTACATAGCAGTTATGATGTTATATTAATTGCCCAGAATTTGACCAAGTTAACAAGCCAGCTTCATCAAATGTCCGAAAAGATGGGATCATATACATGACTTCTTTATTTCCGTTGCATAACAAGGATAAATACACAAGAAATAATATTAATTTTGCTAACCTTTGCAAAAATTCAAAATCACCAAGAAATCGATGATGTGGTGGGTCTAACGTAATTTTTCAAGCACATATTTTTATCCATCTCTTACCAAATTCGGTTTATTTGCAAAACTCAGTCACACAATGCAATTTCTGTCTTCTACAAAATTAAGAAGAAACTACTTACCGTGAATAAATACCCATTTCGTAGATTACCTGAATAGCAGTCTTGGACCCAACAAAAGCTTCAATCTTTTTCCAGTCACGATCAAAGCTGGAAATCGTCAAACAACAATAAGAATCAGAATTTCACTATAGTTATGAAAATCTAAGCATATTTATCGTATGCTAACTCAATTTTGATCATCATTTATGTGCATGATCTAGCCTCTTGATGAGGCTACTGGACAGTAACAGCTTAAACTAGTTTCATAATAGAAAGGGGTTCCACTAACAGTAGCTCCTCCATATCGCTTCTCTGAAATTACATACACCAGTTCACAAAATTCTGATCTATCTCACATGCATAAAAACATCCCAATGATTAATATTTTATAATGCCTATCCACTACTAATCAAAACTAGCAAGCTTATGTAGCACCCATCCTACGTAAATTGCAACAATTCCCAATTAGGGAAGAGTTTCTCTTCTTTGGTTCTTGCCATTGGTTTCAAGATCACCATGTTTTCTTTTTCCTGAAATTGACATTGTGTGTATGATCAATGAGTAGTTATTCCTTCACAACTTTGATTTCTCCCATTTGAAAATCATTGCAAACCCATCCAAAAGATCAGGGACTAATCAACAGCAATCACATTCATAGCAGATTCATCATTACACAAGCAGCAAAGAATCAAACTTCCCAACTCCTAACAGTTCATACCTCTATTGCATCCTTGACAAACAGATTCAACAAATAAACTTCAATCAAGAGATAAATATAGCATCACAAATCCTATTTTCAGTTTATCGTTTTCTCTTATCTTTGATTCAACAAGAATTGCATATGTTAAATTAGACAGATAGACAGACATACATACATATATACATACACAGAGAGAGAGGGAGAGAGAGAGACATACAGATGAAGAGCTTCGAGAAACTTATCGTGTTCAATGTCAGTCCAGTTCTGTCTAGACTTGGTAATAGTATACGGCTTCCGAATCTTCTTACTGGGATCATCCAACAAGGAATTCGAAAAATCAACGGTGGCAAGAGAATTATCAGTACTCACCGGCGCCGGCAGCAGAGAATCAAAACCCATCAACAGCTTGTTCTAATCTTGAGCGGGTGGTTTGTTCAGGTAGCAAATTAGGGTTCGGTTAACAGATTCAAAGTAAACTGTTTAAACGTTTATAATAGTGATACAGAGAAAGGGAGAGAAAGAGAGAGAGGGGATAGCTATGGGAAATGGGTGGCCAGACACGTGGCGGAAGTTTAATAAAATAGGTTATATTTGGCAGGCACCACCGCCGTCTTCCAATCAAAAAATACGGTAAATGATTATTTATTGTATTTGTTAAGTTTTTAAAAAACTACGACAAATTTGGTCCCCTTTTTACAGTAAATTACATGATTGGTCCCTGTACTTTACATAAAATCACATGGTAGAGAAGGATGATTTCAATCACAAGGTATGGGTCTATTTCCAACATGAGAAAAGTGAGACCTTTGCGGCTTTCAAAAACAGCAAAATCATGGTATAAAAGGAGTGTGGTTATCTAATATGTGGATTAAGAACTGACAGGGGTGGGGAGTTTAATTTCAAGAAATTTTCAGATTATACTTCACAAGGGATAAAGAGACAGTTAACTACACCATTTAAGTTAACTATTCCTCTCCTAGGGATAGCGCAAGTCCCTTGCCATCCGGTAGAAGGGAAAAAAGAGCTCCAGCTTACCTTCAAGATTACACCAGTGGAGAAGACATCTCAGACGAGGAGGTATAAAACTTTCTTATGTTTATTTCAGCTGACAATCCAACTTGCTATGAAGATGCAATAAAGTCACAACATTGGAGAGATATTAAGAACATGGAGATTGATGCCATAGAAAGGAATAATACCTGGGAACTGGTTCAACCACCAGATGAAGTCAAAATGATAGGTGTGAAGTGGGTATACCAAACAAAGCTAAACGAAGAAGGTGAAGTAGACAAACGCAAGGCTCGACTAGTCGTAAAAGGCTATGCACAAGAAAAAGGTATCGACTATATTGAGGTCTTCGCTCCTATTGCTCGATGGGATATGATTCGGATGGTGATGGCGTTAGCTGCAAGAAACAGCTGTAAGCTTTACAACTGGACGTAAAAAGTGTGTTCTTACACGAAAATCTTGAGGAAGATGTCTATGTCGCTCAACCGGTGGGATACGTGGTCAAGGGTGAAGAACACAAGGTTTATAAAAAGAGAAAAACTTTGTATGATTTGAAGCAGGCTCCACGAGCCTGGTTTAGCAGAATTAAAGGCTACTTCACTAAGGAGGGATTTGAGAAGAGCTACCATGACCACACTTTGTTCATCAAAAAGAAAGAAAACAAGATCCTGATTGTAAGTCTTTACGTAGATGATCTTATCTTTACTAGTAATGATTTTCCTATGATGCAAGCATTTAAAAATTATGTGAAGGAGGAATTCAAAATGATAGACTTGGGTGAAATGAAGTATTTCATGGGGTTTGAGGTTCGTCAAACAGAAAAGGGCATTCACATCAGTCAAAAGAAGTATGCCAGGGAAGTTCTTGAACGTTTCAATTTAGGCGATTGCAATGGGGTCAAAAGTCCTATGGTTACTGGAAGCAAATTTTTCAAAGGAAGATGGAGGGAAGTCATGTGATGAAACTTTGTTTTAAGCAGATGATAGGAAGCTTAATGTACATGATTACCACCAGATCTAACTTAATGTATTGTGTTTGTCTCATAAGTAGATACATGTCAGATCCAAAGGAGGCACACATGTTGGCGGCAAAAAGAATTCTCAGGTACCTTAAAAGGTACCATCAACCTGGGTATATTCTATAAAAGAGGGTGTAAAGCTGAATTATTTGCCTATACTGATAGTGACTAATTAGACCACCCACATGGGGCTTGCAAATGGAATTGCAAATAAACTTTTGTCAGAATACTTGCTGCCATGTAGGAAAACAATTGCAAAATTTGCAATTGACATTGAAAGCCACGTGGCCACCAACCTCCTCTCCAATTTCTTTTTTTTTTCTGATTATTTAAATAAATTAATTTTTATAATATTAATATATTTATTAATTACATTAATTATTCTTATATGAAAATATTCTATGCATGTATATATGTTATTTAAAAAAATATAAATATAATATAACTAAATTAATTTAAACATTAAATTTTATAATTACATAAATTACAATTAACCAATATATAAAATTACATATAATAATATATCACGCATAATTAATAAAAAACACAAATAAAATTACATGTTTATTCGTCTAAAAGTTGACGGATTTTTTTTATCGTACAATTTTCGTTGTTGGTCTGTCATAGTTGACGGATCCATTTCCATCAATCTGATTGTCAATTCTTCTTTTTTTAAGTTGATCTTTCATCTTCTCCCGTTCTTCTTTCTTTCTCTCTCGTTCTTTTATAGCTTCCGTATATTGGTTGAAGAGATTTGGTTGAAGAGATTTGGAGCCAATTTCAAGGAGAAGAAAACAATGATTAATGTAACGTTTTATTTCTATCTATATGTAATATTTTTAATTCTTTAAATGTTGTGTTTTGATATGATTTAATAAATTAATGTTTCAAATTTAAAACAATAAATTATATAATTATTATATTATATTATATCATATATTAATCGTTTTAATTAACATTGAATTAAAATAAAACATGTTATTAATTAAAAAATAATTATAATGTATATATAAATAATTTATAAAATAGTTAATAAATGTTGTAGTGGGGACCACTTTTGAAAGTGTAGGTGAATTGCAGGTGTGTAGATGGTAATTGCAAAAGCTGACGTGACACAGTTGAAAGTGTTGTAGGTGAATTGCAGGTGTGTGGAAGATAATTGCAAAAGCTGATGTGGCACAATTGAAAGTGTAAATGGATTGCAGGGATGTGGATGGTCTAAGAGGGTGATGAGCGGTGTAGCAGTAGCCTGGGCCTCCAAGAAACAACCGATGGCGACCCTCTCGACCATATAAGCAAAGTACATGGTTGCTGCTTTCTATGTAGGTCAGAGTATTTGGATGCAACAGGTTCTTAAACAGATTGATGGTAACATGTCCAAGTGTGTTAAAGTTCTTTGTGATAATTATGGAGATGAAATATGTAATATATAATTCAAAATATATTGAATTATGTATTAAATAATAAACATAAATATTTAAAAAATAATATCTATATATATATATATATATATATATAATGAAACGTGTAAATATATATTATAATAATATTTTATTATTAATTCTATTTAAAAGGTTTTAATGTTTTATTCAAATTAGCTAGTCAGTATGAATTTTTATGAAATGTGACTACTAACTTTTGTGACCAGCGACTTATGAGAATCACAATGAAACTTTCATATTCAAAAATCAATTAAGTTTTATTTATAGGATTGATTCGATATTAAATATATCGTTTTTATTAGTTAAAGTGCTCAAATGGATTTAAAAGTTATACAACGTATATATATTTGGACCCAGCAACTCACGTGGATCATAATGACACTATCAGATTCAAAAAAGGATAAAGTTTTTATTTTAGGGTCATTTAAACTGGACTATAAATATAGGTTTTTTTATGGATTATAGAAATATCAAATTAATACCGAATTTTATATTTATATACGTTGCAAAAATATAGATGATATAAAAGGTCAAAATATGACTACGGAAGGTAAAACAATTGCATTCCTACGGATAGCTAAAATCGAGTAGGTCCCAATATGTGTTTATATTGTACTGAGTTTTAGAAAATTATATTGCCTTAAAATAACTAACATATATCTAAACTCAAATCAGATTACTCCGCTAATTGCTTATCCTGGTCGATATGGTCATATAGGATGGTGTCTAGAAAGGTTGAAACGACTGAGTTGTGGACTTCCAAAAGGTTGCAAATTATATTTGCTCCGAACAGATCCTGGCTCCCCACAATACCGGTCCCGCTATTTCACATTGGTAGTCAGATGGATTAGTAAAAAATGGTGATTTGAATAAAATAAAAACATCTATGGAGGATGTCATCATACAACTTTTTCGATAGGCGAAGGAAAGGTGGAGGTCGAGGTCAAAACCGAGGTAGAAGCCAAGGTACTAAAATAGTAACCACAAGGGTGGTGCCTGATTGGTTTGAGATTGGCTCCAAAGGTCAAAAGTACCAGAAGGTCCCAGGTTCAAATCCAATGAGAAATAAAAATCCCTTTGTGGCCACGGAGATTCAAATGCGGTGACTCCGGGCTCAAACCAATCAGGCACCACCCTTGTGGTTCACTTAGGTACCGTTTACCAAACGCTTACCCGAGTAAACGCTTACCAGGTCACATTACTTTACCGGATGAATATGTCAAGGACTAAGAATCTTACCCGGTAAGAACGAAGTCAATAATCGAGTCTTACCCGGTAAGTGACTCTTACCATGGTTAGTGCTTACCGGGATAAATTGTTGTATACGATGCGTTTTGATGAATAAAATCTTACTCGGTAAGTAAAAAATAGTTTTGAATTTTAGCAGTAAGCGCTTACCGGGTAAGTGTTCAGGTAAGCAGATGCTTATTCTAGTTCAGATTCCGTTTGTATAAATTAAAATTACAAACTACAGTTATATAAAAAAACGACGACCATGTAATAAACGAACCACCACACTGCCTTTGCCTGGATAAAAGAACATTAAAGCCTTACGAGTTAAAAAAACATCCACGTTCAACAACATACATAAAAGAAAAAAATACATTAACTTACAAACTAAAAACCATATTCTTCATCTTCATGCATTGAAAAAAAAAAAGGTTTCACAAGCCTCACGAAAACAGGCTGGTCTCACGTAATCTCAAATATATATGTATATGTATATAGGAGCCTAATCAAATGAGAACTGATTAGTTTGTGGTAACTGTGAGGTCCAATCTCAACCACAAATCAACGGATAAATTAGGAAATTAATAATTATGGTAGTTTGAGTTAAAATTATAATTAGAAGGCATATTAGGTATTTATAAAAAACTCCCCTCACCTCACCTCTCTTCTCTCTCATCTCTCCGACCTCCAATCTCCGGTGAACATTAATCCGGCAGGTATCACAGTATATCACATTGTGTATATTTATTTTTAAAGTTTGAGTTGGTACCACAATGGTATCACAGTATATCACAATGGGTATCACATTGTGTATCTTTGTGATTATTTGGTACCCGCCGGATTAATGTTCACCGGAGGCCGGAGATTGGAGGTCGGAGAGATGAGAGAGGAGAGAAGAGTTTTTTAAAAATACCTAAAATGCCCTCTAATTATAATTTTAACTCAAACTACCATAATTATTAATTTCCTAATTTATCCGTTGATTTATGGTTGAGATTGGATGTCACAGTTACCACAAACTAATCAGTTCTCCCTTGAATGGGCCCCTATATATATATATATATATATATATATGTGTGTGTGTGTGTGTGTGTGTGTGTGTGATCAAACACCACAATCATGCATTCATACCTCAACTGTAAGATCGTAACTCAATCGCATCCTGCAAAAACCGCAATCACCAAGAGAATAAGTTAACAGGAACAACTAAATATCTAAATGATACCACAACTAACCTTGCTTCTGAAAACAACAAGAAACTGTGCTTCTGAAAAACACACACCCCCTCCAGCTCTTTGCCTGGAACATGAAATGCAGGTCGACCTCGTGTATGCAAAGAAATAACACAATCATCTTTTAAAAGCTCAAGGGATTTTATCGAGGCCAACGGGTGTTCTTCAAATTTCATGAATTTTATCGAGGCCAACGGGTGTTCCCCAAAATTTATATGTGTAAAGGACACATGTAGTTTTGAGCAGTAAACTAAAAGACCATGTGTTATTTTATATCAAATGGTAGTATAAGAGTTGCATTCACTTTTGGCTGCCTGTGTCGATGATAAACCAAACAGAGAATTGCCGTCCCTTCCATATAGGTGACGATTATCTACGTCCATTATTCTATATAATAATAAGTTCCTTCTTTTCATTAAATTATATATTTTCAAGAAAAAGGGAGAAACAATATGCAAGTCCTCAATTCCAATTCCTCCTCTTTTCTCAGGAGAATGGACACTCTCAATGATTTACTTGCTTTTTGTGACCTCATCTCACTCCACTGTGATCTAATAGATGATATAGTTCAAATTCCTAATGCTGATTGCTTTCAACATATACGGGGTTGTTTCTTTACCTCTTAATAGTTTCATTAAGAGGCAACCTATGAATCGTTAAGAGGTGAATCTTGTTTGGCAAAAAAAAGTTCTGTCTCTTAATGGTTCTAAAATCATCTTAATGATTTTGTATCCTAGGCCTCCCTTAACCATTCAGCACCCTAATTCCATTGTAAACAATTATTGAACAATCTATTTCATTTTGTACTATATCATGAGAGCCTCTTAATCATTATGACCATTTAATCATTCTGCACCAAACCATTTACTTGTTTTTTTGTCTCTTGTGTTAATAGATTTGATATCATGGGAAAAATGTTACAAGGTATGAAGAGACAAAAACAAATAACATTTTCAACATATAGAGTGTGGTACGCTTGTAACATTTTCTTAATGATATCAAATCTAATAACAAAGGAGACAAAAACAAGTACCACGCTCTATATGTTGAAAGCAATCAGCATTAAGAATTTGAACAGTATCATCTGTTAGATCAGAGTGGAGTGAGATGAGGTCACAAAAAGCAAGTAGATCATTGAGAGTGTCCATGAGGAGGAATTGGAACTAAGGACCTGCATATTATTTCTCCTTTTTTCTTGAAAATATATAATTCAATGAAAAGAAGAAACTTCTTACGATATGGAATCATGGATGTATATAATCGTCACCTAGATAGAAGGGAAGACAATTCCCTGTTTGGTTTATCATCGACACAGGCAGCCAAAAATGAAGGCAACTCCTATACTACCATTTGGTAAAAAATAACACATGGTCTTCAAGTTAACTGCTCAAAACTACATGTGTCCTTTACATATAAATTTTGAGGTAAAATTTAGTATGGTCGACTCTCGAAACATAAAACTGGACAGATTACTTCCCTGGATGAATGGAGTAACTAATAGATAATCTTTGAATTATAATAGAATGTTTGAAGTCCACCAGACTGTAATGCCTAAGCACAAGAAATCTTGATTCTAATTCAACTAAACTGTTTAGCTTTGAACTTATAAAATCCAATAGTTAAGAAGATTCAAGACAGCCAAAGTTGCCAACTTTGAAGCACTAAACCTTGAACCGTTACAGAATTCGATCTCCCCACTCTCTAGACCAAAGAAACTAGAACTATACCTCGCAATTGCTTAGAATTCGGTTCTCACATAATGGACAAGATTACAAAAAAGAAATCATTGATCATTCTTTCCATAAATAAAGCAATCCTCAATCATCTATATGGACTATAAAGAATATGTTCTGATCCACAAATTCACAGGCAAAAAGTTAGTCAATTAGTTACCATTCCTCTGTAATCTAGTTTTATCGAGCATTTATATTTAAAGGAAAGAAAAATTACGAGAACAAAATGTCCTGCTAAGGACTTGACCTTCCGCACTTTAAGTTATAGGGAACATCTAATATGCACAAACCAGATGGTCTCCATTTAATCTACAAAATGATATACAAAATAGCATGAGCAATCGCTTCCGAGTTGCAATCTCTTCTCCATTTCCCATCACAAGGAACTTTCCGGAACCAAATCAGCCACAATTCCCCCATAGAGGAAGTATCAAAATAGTGTTGTCAGGCAGTATTTCTATCAGCTCAGTTAAATCAGTCTACCTAATTATACCAATCATGCAATCACAAAATTCACTTAAGTAACCAACTAAATGTCTAAATTTACCAAATCAGAGAGCTTTCCACACAAACAACACGTCAATAACTACAGCCAACAAGTATGAACATAAGAATTGGAAGCTAATGCAGTAAGGATACACCTCACTACCATGAATTGCATTTGATAAATGACAGAATTTTTTAGCAGTAAATACAAATATAAGGATGAAGTTACAAAATGTTTCAAATTTAAAAGCAGAAGCTGACCTGCCAATTACCCCTAACGGCATCTCCGCATTCCATGACATAGAGGCTGCACGGAGCCGAGCCATCCAGAAGCAGAAAGAGTATGACGTGAGAGCAGGTGCATGTGCCGTACAAGTCCAAGAAACAACGTCATCACGGTATCAGCAATCTCCTCAGCTCGCAACACGTGCATATGGACAAACCGACAGATCCCTAGGTCGGCGACAAGTGCAGAATCGACTGAACGACCGGATGAGCCGAGGCAGAGACGAACCGCCACAGGCGGTTCCGCCACTAGTCGACAGGGGAAGGCCAGAGAGTAAGGATCTAAAACGCAAGATATATACAGACCTGACTTCTAACCCAAAAAAATAGAACGGCTGTTCCGTGAAGAACACGGCTTACCCAAAAGCAAGACAAACCAAACTAGCTCGGTGTACCTCACCCAGAGGTAGGGTCTAGGAGGTAAGATGTATGCAGACTTGGCTTCTACCTCAAAGGATAATGTATCTGTTTTCATGAAGACCACATCTTGTAATAAACCCAAAAACAAAACAAACAAAACGAGCTTAGTATATAGCCAGCCGGAACTACTAGGGTCTAAAATGTACGCAGACTTGGCCCCTGTCCCAAAGAACAGAGCCGCCCACTAATGAAGAACTCAAAAGCATCAAACATTCCAAGAACCCAAACACCCAAAAGATGTACAAGTGCATTATTACTTGAGATTCCATGAAAGAACTTATTACAAGAAATAAGAAGCATTGCCAAACAAAGGCTATGCTGCCACAGGGAGGGAGATTACATGAAACATACAGATAAAAAACCAAACCTCAGAATGACTTTAAGCCGTGAAACCAAAACCTATCTACAAAAACAACTTTCAGACCAAACCCATCCATCGTGCTATCACTTCCATTCCCTTTATGTAACAACTCCGATTGATGCTACTGGCATGATGGGTGGTTTTGCCCTATAAGAACTGGATATTTGTATCCACAGTATGTTACTTTGCCATTTTTGAAGATGTAGAAAGTGAGAAACGGTAGGCTCAAAAGAATCTCCTCCTGAAATTGCGGGTGGTTGCTTGATACGAGCGCATCAGCAGTCCAACACCAATGCCAATACCAAGACACATCCCGAGCCCCAGGCCAACACCAACTCTTACACCAGCATTGAACCATGTAAGTTGACCATCCTCATCATAATACATCTCCTCTGAATAGTAGCTTGGTCCAACTTTACCTTCGTACTCATCGGCTTCTTCCCCTGCATTCTGGAAAAATTAAGAATATAATGTCAACAAATCCAGGATATGTACAATTGTCACTGCATGAGGTACCACTTCATACTGGGAACTAGTTCAAGAAACATGTATTGTACATAGCCATACTGGACCGAAAGCTAGCATCTTCACACTCAAAAAAATGGGAACAAGATTGCAGTCTCTATGTTCCAGAAACAGGCTGTCAAAAGATCCACAGGCTCTACTAATACCCTCTTTTAAGTGAGAGCTGGAAATGAGATATAAATTGTACCAGAAAGTAAAATATGAAAAAAGTAAACTTGCATTCAAAATTGCTGAAAAGTCAAGTACATGGAGTTGAAAGGCATTGACAGAAATAGAAAGATACATATAAACTAATATTTGCAGAGAGTTGAAAGGAGTTAGCATGGTCCTTCATTTGCTAGTGTTATCCTAACACTGTGATAAGCAAAGGATGAGTAGGAGCACTGGAGTTGATTCTCCTGTTATAACCTGAAACTAAATGACCAGTAATGGAACTTGCTAGTGACAGGAACATTGATGGTGAAAACCTAGACAAGCAACAGTTGGCACTTTTCAAGCTACACCTACAGATACTAGCTGTCAGCAAGATGATTGTTCTTTCAGGGTGCGTTTGGTACAGAACAGGGCAGAACAAAAACTTGTTGTCTCATGTTTGGCGCAACAAAAGAGATTCTATCAACCCAAACTAGTAAACTGAGACATCCACCATGAATACTATATCTCAACATTCTGCATTCTCCACATTAAAGAATCTGACAAAGAGACGGCAAGTATCATTCCACAAATTTTCAGCTTGTAAAACACTTTTCTCATAGGACAATTGTTATATGCACGGTTGGGGTCTCGATGCCAAAAATTTGTACAAATTGTAACAACCATTCTACTCCACTATAAATTTTGATAACCACCACAAGGTACTTATGTCTTTTAGCAAAACAAGGGCAGATGTAGAAAATAAGATGTTTGTGCATGTCATCATCATCCTCCTAATTCAAAATATACATATATCCTCTTATGTTATCGTAATTAATCACATTTTCTCTAAGTAAGCACTATTCAAGGCAATGTTACAGCTTTAAAACACAACTTCAAGGATAGCATAAAATTCATGTTCTCAACTTCAGAAGGCAGTGCCACAAAGCAATTTCCCAGAAGACATTCACACATAAATCACTAGTGCCTGTTCATATACCTAATTTGTCCATTTGGGAGGGCCCGTTTCCATTTCTCATCAAGCAAATGGGTTCCATAGTCATATACTAATATATACGTTCTTATTCACACCATTTAGATGAGACCATAGAATGAAAAAGTTAAATGCTATTAGGGGCCTGATTGGTAATGTGAATATCCTTTTAAGCATTGGCCTAGCTAACTAAATATTCCATAACTAAGCTTCGCTCAAGGAACTATTTAGCTCTAATAGACAACCATTTTGCAAAAACTAAACAATCACTCAACTTGAGAGGGCAGTACCTAATGACGGCAATTTCGCAAAAGACCTTCAAACATAAATTCACTGAGATTCCATTTGTTTATAATCCTTCCTTCCCAAAATAAGTAGATCCTTCCTGGGTTGGCCCAAAATAATTACAACATTCTCTATAAGCCTTAGGGTAATGTTTCGGTCAAAATTTACGTTTTTACAGTAATTGCTATATGTAACAACGATTATGGTCCATAAGACTGCTTTTTGTCATCATTGTCAAACTGTAAATCAAGTGTTGCATTTATATTTGGGATGAAAGAAGTATAGTTTTCTTCTCCATTTATCAAAAAGCGAGATCTGCACATCCCGCACATTTATATAAGATACCGAAAATGAAAATGTTAAATGGTCAAAACTAATAAAGCCTACAAGGGGATAGTCACCTCTAACATGATTTCTAGATGTAAACTCGATTCAAACATCAGTGGAAAGTTTCTCCATAATAACTGCCATGAGAATTTCATTTGTTTGTGTACATAATACATTTCATGTATTTGTGGTTCATATCTCAACCTTAAATAGTTGGCACCCATAGCGTCCTAGTGTCATCCAACACATTCTCTAGTTGTATCTTCAATAGAAATACCAGTAGAAAGTTTCTTTTTTTCCAAATGACTGGTCATTGCAATCTCCAAAAGCCATAAAATGTGGCAGAAACTACCATATACGATATGTCATATGGTAAGTTAGTAATAACCATAAGGAGAATACAAGTTGAGAAAGAAAACTTATGATGGACAATGAATTCCTCAATGAGGGCATGGTGGTTGAGAAGAAACAGTTAGTTACCGGCAATTTCCGCTGCCGAACAACTCCATTGTCCCTCATTGGTTCCTTATCGACTTCTTCATCCTCTGGGATAGCATCGAGCATTCCATGCCGTGAACCTCGTCTCCTTGGACTAACTTGAATAGTTTTAGTCAAAATCACCGGCACCGAGGAGCAACACCCTGCAATGTAAACTTCGATCGACGGCGAAGAAGTCCCAAACTTTGACAAATTTGCAGCGTAGAAATCCATACTCCAACCCGTTTTTGATCCGTTGTTATTGTGATTATGATTGTTGCCGTTATCTAAACTCCCATTGCTCCAAGTTGGTTCAATCCTCTCCAAAGACCCACACAAGATCATCTCCCTGTCCTCTCCTTCGTTTTCAATTACCTCAAATTCAAACGCCCCAGTGACCCTAATATTATCCGTGCTAACATATGTCACTTCCGACGACTCTTTGTCCACACGGTCCCTTCGTAACGTCACTAAAGCAGTGTTAGCTGACGGAACCCTAAATCCATTAATCTCGAGTGATACGCCGATTTCACGGCGTAGGTTCCGCAGCGTTAAATGTTCCGGCACGGTGTTCACGGCGCACGGCGTGATTCGAACGTAAAACAACCGAATTTCGAGCCAACCTGACGTCGGTTGATGATGAATATTACCCGAACCATTCATTAGCCTGTAATTGAACGGTTTGTATTCTGCTACCGTCTCCTCTCGATCCATTGAATCCAAGTTCTCAACGAAATGGCGATTCAAACAAAAAAATCCATACAACCTCCGAAAACTCAAAATTTTCCGGCTTCCGGAACAAGAAATTGAGGATTTCGAAGAGGTTTCTGAAAATCGGGTGAGAAGAAAACCAGAAATTAGGGCAATTTGAGGGACGATCGAATTGGGATTTTGAAATGGCGAATGGGAAACATATGAGATTTTTTGGGCTTAAGGAACTGTCGGATGTACACGCGCCACTCCACGCGGCGGAGATATCTAAGACACGTGTGTGAGGTTGCCATCAAGATGTACAGGTCAACAAAGTTAATATATTTACATATATGTCCCTAAACTATGGAAATTTTATATTTGTACTCTCTAAATTTACTTTATGACACTTTGACCCTTTTGATTTGGGCTCCATCATTCTAGGGTGCAAGCCTAGGCATGGGAATGGGCCCGATCTGTCGAAAAATCCAGTCCACCCACCTCGGGCGGGGACGGGGGTTCTTCGCTAAATCAGGAATGGGAACGGAAATACGGATCTCTGTTTGTCTCAAATCGGGGATAGGGACGAGTATGGAAACTCCACTCCCCGCCCCGCCCCGTACCCGTTATATATATTAATTAATAAATTATATATATATATATATATATATATATATATATTGGAAGGATATAATATATTTTATATACAGCAAATACAACAAATAAACTCACACACCATCTTCACAATTGGTGATGTTTGAACCTCTGACCTCCTAAGAAGCAAGAGGCTCAAATACTGCTAGGCTAAAGGCCCTTTGATTATATGTATATTATTTATTTCAACTAAATCGGTAATTCATAATTTCCTAACTAGGTTTATAATCTAAAGTTATTATTTTTTGGATGTTAATATGTAATATTTTAGATGTCAAGTCAAAATACAATTACTCGATAAGTTTTGTACCTTAATCGATATGATTTTATATTACTCAATATCTTTTGTTACGTGTGACTTTAAGTTTTTTTGGATTAAATTGAATTCTTTTTTTATTATAGGTTATTAATTCTTATATGGTATTGTGGTTTTTTTGTATTAAATTAAATTTATTTTAGTTTTAGATTTATTGAAAATATTTGAGATTTAAACATGTATGGTCTCTCACATATTTAATTTAAAATAACTTACATAAACGGAAAAAAAAATATTTGTTTCCTCGTTGGGGATAGAGATGTGATTATATTCTTTGGTAGGGACGGGGACAAGGATTGAGGTCTCCACCCCATTCCCATGCATATGCAAGACTAGATGGTCGGAACCAAGGGCATGAAGACCGAAGTCTTGCGTGCAAATAGCCAAGTACTCGGATACAGAACTCAACTCCCAGATACAAAGCCTCTGCATGGCACATGCAGAGCCTATGCTTCTCCTACTTAGCCCATAAGTGTGAAGGTTCCGAAGATTATCTTAAAAGCGTTTCAAGGTTCAATTGAACAACCCAAAGCAAAGCCATCCAGAATTCAGACCAACCAAAGACCCTCTAGACTACCAGAGTCTCTGAACACTAGGATGGAGGATTCACTAAAAGAGCAACCAGAGCCTCTGGTCCTAAAGACTAGAGCCTCTAGTTCTAAAGACCAGAGCCTCTGGTCCACAATCATTCAGGACCAGAGCTCCTCTGGTTGAACTATACTCTGAAATACATTTATCAGATTTCTGAAAAAGAAAACCTCAAAGTTTTGTAAGTCTGAAGAGACATTTTTCAGATTTCTGGAAAAGAAGACTTCAGAGTTTTACAAGTCTAAAAAGACATTCTTCAGATCTCTGAAAAAGAAGACTTCAGAGTTTTACAAGTCTGAAGACCCGACGAGCACTAAATATCAAATCTGAAGACGAAGTCGGAGGACCTTGAGTTCAGAGTTATTCAAACTCTAAATTAGAGAATGAAACTGCTAACTCTAACGTATGAAACCCTTCAATTTCTTAAATTTTTTGCTACAAGTCCTCTATAGAACATAATAAAAACACATAATATACCTTATTAAACACATAAAACACATTAGAACATATTTAGAGACAATTGCCAAGCATATTAAAAAAGATCTGATATAATAATATGTTCTAAGAGATCAATCATCATTACCTAAACTATTGAATTTTAACTTAATTTATACTTATATATCATCCACCTTTTCATATTACTTATATTCTTCATTAGCAAATTGGCTTAAATGAAAATTCTGAAAGTTGATGTATTGCCAATTGTTTAACCAATCAGATTAAAATTGTTAATTTGTTATTTATCTGTTGAGAAACAACATCAAACCAAACCAAACAATTTTGAGCTCGATAAGGTTTAGTTTGATTTTGATTCGGTCCAGTGATTCGAATAAGATGCACAAAGCCCCTGCTTTCTCGGGCCTAGGTCGGGCTTTTCAAACCCATTTATGTAAGAAGAAAAAAAGGTTCGCGTTTTTTTAGACAGCCCAGACTAAGCTTTAGGGTTGAAATTTTTTCTGATCTAGCATTTTTAGGCCGGGTTCTTTTGAGCTTTTCGGGTTTAACCAGGATTTTCAAAGACTTCTCGGGCGAAGCCTAGATCTCGGCATGCCCCCAAAATTTCAACTTGATCGGGTTTTAACCCCTGCCCAGTCCGAGCTTCGGGTTCACTAGATCTGGGCTTTCGAGTGGGGCCTAGGATTTTTGGTGTAATTTGAGGTTTGAACATGTGTAATTATGCAGTTATGATCATAACCACATGTATATGACTCCTACATTGTAGTCTTTCGAATCCCTAATTTATTGCTACCAACAAAAACGTCAAGAAAATGATATATCTCAAGAAATCAAAATTTCAACCATTTTTCAAATTCCTGTGAATTGTTTGAATCAAAAACATAAGATTCAATTGTAGGCTTGCAAAAATTGAGGGTGATAGAGAAAATGCAGAGGAAAGAAATGAATCATCCTCTGCAGATTCCACATCTCCCAGGCATCTCGTTGTGGTACAATTGGAGAATGACGAAAAGGAGACGACCGAGGGACCGGCCACCGCCGATCACGAGACAAAGCTTCATCATGCGCCCACCACGTTGATGGTGGAAGATGAGGGAGGAGATTACTCCGCTATTAATAGCTTCCATGATGCGAAAGTTATATATCAGTTGGAGTCGCGAAAGTTATGGGCCATTGCGACTCCAATAGCGTTTAACATGCTTTGTAATTATGGGACGAACTCCTTCACCAACATCTTCGTTGGGCATATCGGAGATATGGAGCTTTCAGCTGTCGCGGTTTCTTTATCTGTCATCGCTAATTTCTCATTTGGATTTTTGGTTAGTATATAAATCTCAAATATCAATGCACTATAATAAAAACGGTTTTATAAAATGTCAAATATGTTTAATTGTCCTAACAGACTGATTTATAGGACTTAAACTTAACACAAAATAACTCCCTATGTATATGTTTACAATAAGTTGATAAGACGTTTCTTTGTCTAACAAGTTTTTTAGAACAATTTTGAAATAAAATATCCTATTAATTCTTTTATATAACATGTATTATTTGAAAATTTGTCTAATAAAAAGGTCATTTTGTATGACAATTTTCATGTGTCGAAAATATGACAATTTATTTCAAAAGTATCACAAAAAATTTGTTACGATGTTTAAAACCGTCATATCAACTTATTATCGTATTTTTTTTATTAACCTGGATATCCAACCCGCTATGCGAGCCGACTAATCCCAAGACGATCACCTGCTTTGCAGATAGTCCGGAGTCACCACATTTGAACCTTCGTGACCACATGTTATAGTATTTTTATGTATGAAAGAGAGTGAAATGCATGTAAATTAGTGTGAGAACCTAAAAAATATATTGTTACTCAAATCATACTCCGTACGTAAATAAATATATATATATATATATATATATATATATATTATTTTAGTAATATTCTTTTTACTTTATAAACAAAGGTTGTTTATCAAACGTTTATTGGGTTAGTATTTACCGACAAGAGAAGTTGCCCTCACTTACTTTATCGTGTAACATTCTCGGCCACCAACATGAATTATTCGTAAACATTTTAAACCGTGTAAGAATATTTTTCCTCACTTACTGGGTAAGACTCTCAGTCTTTGTTACACATCTTAAAAAATAAGATTTTGTCTTTTCCATGCTCAATCGGTAAAGTAAGTGATACGACTAAGGGGCCGTTTACTAAATACTTACCCGGTAAGCGCTTACCGGTAAATTTAACACTATCATTTACTTACCGGACAAGACTTTAGTCCACCAAAACGGTATCGTATGCAACAATTGACCCAGTAAGCGCTTACCATGGTAAGAGTCGTCGCCCGGGTAAGACCCTTCATCCTTGTCTCGTTCTTACCAGATAATATTTTTGATCCTTACCATATTCATCCGATAAGATAAAATGACTTGATGTTCACTTACCAAGTAAGTCTGATAAACGACCCTAAGCGGTTATCCGATAAATGGGTCCCTAGATCATATGTTAATAATGATGGAAATGAATAGACATTCGTGTTCATCGTACACAGCTTGGCATGGGCAGTGCACTTGAAACATTATGTGGGCAAGCATTTGGAGCAGGCCAAATCGAAATGCTTGGAGTTTACATGCAGAGATCATGGATAATCCTGACACTTGCTTCTTTCTGCATACTCCCACTCTACATTTGGGCAACACCTTTACTTAAACTCTTGGGTCAACGAGACGACATCGCAGATCTCGCCGGAAAATTCTCCATCCAAATCCTCCCTCAGATGTTCTCCCTCGCCCTAAATTTTCCGACGCAGAAATTCCTTCAAGCTCAGAGCAAGGTCAACATCCTAGCCTGGATGGGATTTTGTACGTTGATTATACATATAGGTTTGTTGTATGTGTTCATGGAGGTTTTCCGGCTGGGAACGGTGGGTGCAGCGGCGAGTTATAATTTGTCGGCGTGGGGGATTGCGGTGGCGCAGGTGGTTTATGTGTTGGGATGGTGTAAACAAGGGTGGAGGGGGTTTTCGTGGTTGGCTTTGAAGGATTTGTGGGCGTTTGTGAAGCTTTCGGTGGCGTCGGCGGTGATGATTTGCTTGGAGATTTGGTATTTCATGAACATTATTGTTCTTACCGGAAACCTTGAAGATCCTGTTATTGCAGTTGGATCCTTATCAATCTGGTCAGCTTTTCATTCTATCCATCACGTTTTTTTTTTCTTTTACCAAATGCTTACCGGGTAAGTGCTTAACAAATCACATTACCTTACTCGATGTATATGGCAAAGACCAAAAATCTTACCCGGTAAGAGCGACCTGATAAGTGAGGGCGACGGCTCTTACCACGGGTAGCACTTACCGGATAAATTGTTACATAAGATGTCGTTTTGGTAGACTAAAATCTTATCCGATAAGGGTCGTTTACCAAACGCTTATATGAGTAAGTGATTACCAACAACATTCAATTAGGGGCCGTTTACTAAACGCTTACCCAGTAGAAATTTTCCTCATCGGATGAACATGGGAAGGGCCAAAAATCTTACCCGGTAAAAGCAATGATATGAATTGAGAGTTTTACCCGGTAAGTGAGGGTGACGACTCTTACCCGGGTAAGCGCTTACCAGGTAAATTGTTGTATATGATACGTTTTGATGTACTACAATCTTACCAAATAAAATAAATTATAGTGTCGACTCCTAACGTTAAGCACTTACCGGATAAGCATTTAGATAAACGAACCCTTAAATCATAAATCCAAATTTCATTCGATTACTCTTTTGTTTCTTTCTAATTTTTGTTTCTTTGTAACTTCAGCATGAACATAAATGGATGGGAAGGCATGTTGTTTATAGGAGTCAATGTAGCACTAAGGTACAATCTAAAATTCATAAATATTTGTCGTCCTAGATTTTCGTAAATTGTTCATCAATCATATTAATACACATAATCAGAAACATGATATGAACATGAATGATAGTTGCTTAGTTTAACCAAAATGTATGTTTTGGTGGTCAAAACATACAGTGTTCGGGTCTCGAACGAGTTAGGGTCTGGACATCCGAGGGCGGCCAAGTATGCAGTTATGGTAACTGTGACGGAATCCCTTGTAATGGGAATCATTTCTATGTGCATCGTTATGATGACCAAGAACCATTTTGCTGCCATTTTTACGAACTCAAAAGAGATGCAAACCGCAGTCTCCCATTTGGCTTACCTTCTAAGTATTACCTTGGTTCTCAACAGTGTTCAACCGGTCATTTCAGGTATCATTTAGAATAATATTCATGTATGACATAACAATATTATATTATATATTATAGGAAGATTCAATGGGTTTGAGAATGTGTGAATGAATAATTCATATGTGAATCATCCATTTGAATATATGTGAACCCATGTTTATTTACCTATTCTTTTTAACAATCATTCACAGATGGAGAATTGAAGATGCATTTGTGAATCCTCGTTCTTTTTACCATGATTCACATATGAATCATTTATTCACACGATTCGGTTTTTTTATCTATTCCATTTGAACCTATATATATATATATATATATGTATATCAAACGAGAATCCTATATATATATATATATATATATATAATCATGAATTTTAAAAAATTATGTCGCTCACCATATTATATTTATAAAAAACTTCCTTCTCGCTTCATAGATTTTTCAGCTTAGCTATTTGTAAATATATATTCGACACACAAGAAGATGCATATACATTTTCAAGTACGTCTACATACATATAATTAACAAGCTCCCATATAAATATAAAAGGTGTCCCGATTTGTCTCTAGCCATATCAGTTTGTACCTAGATACAATACTTTAACTCATATATATATATATATCAGTGTTTTTGATTGTTGATTTCGTTAAATAATTGTAGGTGTTGCCGTTGGGGGAGGATGGCAAGGACTTGTCGCTTACATAAATCTCTTTTGTTATTACATTGTAGGGCTTCCTCTCGGGTTTTTTCTAGGTTATAAAACACATTTAGGAGTGGAGGTAATATATATATATATATATCATCACATATCAATCAATATTCATTTAATTTTTCTATAAGATTTGAAAAATGACTGTTAATTTATGTATTAGCAGCCAGCGAGTTCCTCATATAGTTGATTATATGATATGGGGTGTTTTGTAGGGAATTTGGATTGGCATGATTTGTGGGACTACTTTGCAAACATTCATCCTTGTGGTAATTGTGTGGAAAACCGATTGGACAGATGAGGCACATTTCTCTTTCTTTTTTGTTGCATACGTTGAATATACTTACCAATTGCATGTTGTAGATATCCAAAAGCACATCAACGCGATAAAATCACATTTGATTCGATCTTTTTTATATTTTTATATTTGGTTGTTGTTCTCGTATGAACCTGACTCTCTTTATATATATATATATATATATATATATATATATATAGGGTCTCATTCAAGGGAGAACTGATTTGTTTGTGGTAACTGTGAGACTCATTCTCAACCACAAATCAACGGATAAATTAGGAAATTAATAATTATGATAGTTTGAGTTAAAATTATAATTAGAGGGCATTTTAGGTATTTTAAAAAAACTCCTCTCTCTCCTCTCATATCTCCGACCTCCAATCTCCGGCCTCCGGTGAACATTAATCCGGCAGCCGACATATACCAAGTAATCACAAAGATACACAATGTGATATACTGTGATACCATTGTGATACCAACTATGATATCATTGTGATATACTCTGATACTATTGTGATACCAACTATGATACCAACTCAAACCTTAAAAATAAAGATACACAATGTGATATCCATTGTAATACACAATATGATACTCATTGTGATATACAATGATACCGATTTCACCGGAGCCTGGAGATTGGATGTCGGAGAGATGAGAGAGGAGAGAGGAGAGAGGAGAGAGGAGAGAGGAGTTTTTTAAAAATACCTAATATGCCCTCTAATTATAATT